AATGTCAGAAGAGTAGCAGGAGAGACATGGAGATTCTGGGTACACAGATCCCATACATTCTGGGAGCATCCTGGAAGGACATTGCCTTCCTTTATTGTGAGTGAGATGGGGAAACCACGTGAGGGTTTTGAGGAAGAAAATGGTTTGACTTAGCTTTTAGCCCACAGTGCTTTTAAAACTTTGTAGCTGCCATGTTGAGAACAGTCTGGAGAGTTGGAGGAGAAAGGTAGAGGCAGGCAGGCCCAGCAGGTAAGAAGCCTTTGCAGTGATCTAGGTGAGAGGTGATGGGGGCTTGGGCCAGGGTGGTGACTGGAGGTGGTGAAAAGTGATTGGATTCCAGATGTCCACCAACTCCTCGCTTGCAGACTCTTATTTTCTTATATTTTACAACAGTATTGAAACATCTACTCTCCAACTATTTTGTGGTAGGTAGTACACATTGAGGAGTGAGGCAGAAGTGATACTCGTTGGCGGTGGTTAAGTTGATATGGCAGCGTGGCTGGGCCATGAGTCTCATTGGTTGGGCATCTGTAATGATACAATCTGATGTGACGTGCCCACCTTCCTTTTTGTGATCATTCTCCATCTTTATCTACTTGCCTGGTCTGTGGAGTCTGGCCATGGCGGCGAGTGAGTGTATTTTGCACTTGTAATGGACAGAATGTGAGAGAAAGAGAAGACTCTAGTGTGATGCCAAGGTTTCATTCTGAGAATCTGAATAGATAGAAGGGTTAGTGTGGAGGGAATGTTGAAACTTCAGGTCAGTTGCTTTTAAGATGGCTGGAAGCATTAATAACCAATATGAACCCACTTAGTACTTAATTTTCAGAGTGCTTTATCGGTATTAATTTATTCCTCTTGTGAAGGTGGATACTTATTTTTAGCCTCATTTTGCAGGTGAGAAAATAAAGGCACAGACAAATTGTTATGCAACAATTTGCCCCAAGATCTAAGCCAGGATCCAGGCTGTGAAGCAGACAGTCTGGTCCCTGACCTCCTGTTCTCACCCTCAGAGGTAAGCAGGGGAGGAGCAGGTATCCACCTCCCTCTTGCTTCGTTCCTTGCCAGATGCTTTTGGCGATGACACTTAAGTATCCCAGCAGCCTGCTGTCTGGCCCTTGGGAGAAGGTCTGCCTCAAAAATCTGGCCTGGGGAGAAGAGTGGGTGTTAGGCTCAGTGCTTCTCTCTCACTTCCCATCTCTTCATGTGGCCTCAGGAAATTTAATTAGCAACCTAAATAAAATGAATAGTCCAGGATTTCTAAACTGATGCACAGAATGTAATAGACCAAAGGAGAAGAATTTATGAGATACAGAGATTCACCGCTCCTAGCCACATCAATCTTCATTTCTCCTTCAAAGGAAATCCTGTGCTTGGAATAAATATAAAGGGCCAAGTAATTGAAATCGTTTCCTCTCTGAGCAAGAAGGGTCTCTTTTGACATATAGTTTTAATAATGTTCTAGAATGATTTGATAAAAACCAAGGAACACATTAAAAATAGGTATTAACTGATAAAGAACATCATCCCCTCATCCAGTTTAATAAAGAGCTCCATTTTCCCTACTAATCATGCCCTCTGCCGTCATCTCTCCTTCCTTCCGCATTATCGCCTTTCTGAGCTTTATCATAGTAACTGTGTTATTTCTTGACAGATTCACTATAACTTTGCCTGTGTTGCTTGGTTTTGAACTTTATTGGTGATTATGAGTCGTCAAGTCGGAACTGACTCATAGCCGACTGATCCTCCAGCAGACTTTCAGAGGCTGTAAATCACTCAGAAAGAGATGACCCTTTTCTCTTCTCCCTTGGATCAGCTCATGAATTCAGACTGCCTGCCTTTGGGTTGACAGTGCACCTCCTTACTACTACGCCCCCCGACGTCCTTGGACTTTATTTAGGTGAAAGGCTGTGGTGTTAGGCTTATGAGATTTTTCCATGTAGTTCTCTATAGTGGTTGTTGCTAAACTCAAGCTCATTGCCATCAAATGGGAACCAACTCATAGCTGACCCTCCAGAGGGTTTTCAGGAGGCTGTAAATTCCATGGGGGGAGATTGCCCATTTTTTGCATGCAGAGCAGTGGGTCAGTTCAGAGAGGTGCCCCCTTTGGATCAGCACTGTGATTCCCTATGGCCCGTTCCACCGGAACCCCTTGCTATTGTTCATAGGTGCTGTTAAGTAGGCTTTGACTCACTGTGGTTTTGAGATTCCCCTTGTTTGCAGTGTTGGCTCGCCATCATTGGTTACGGTCCCCACAGCTGAAGGCCTGACCCTACACCAGCATCACACTCTGCTACGCTGAAGATCATTCATTGTGTTACTCCATTTCTTGAGAATTTCCTTCTGTTTCCTGACTCTCTACTTTAACAAGCTGTCCTGTTGGGGAAACTGGTTCCCCCTGATAACCTGTCCAAAGTATATGAGCCACACTTGCCCATCATTACCTCTCAGGAACTTGCTAGGACTTTCTCAGAAACTGGCTATACTTCTTCCAGAACGGGCTTGTTTGTTGTTTTGGTGCTCCGTATTATTTTCCAAAATCAAGGAAACAAAGGTCCTCACCACTGGGCCAGTAGCCAGCATCATGATACATGTAGGAAGAATTAAAATAGCCAACAATTTCCTCTTACTGGGATTGACCATCAGCATTCTTGGTAGCAGCCGTCAGGAGATCAGGAGACTTACTGCACGGGGCAAGTCCACTGTCGAAAACCTCTCCAGTTTGCTGAAGAGCAATGATGTCCGTCTGAAAAGTAAGGTGCATCTAACTCAGGTCATGGTATTTCCACTCCCTTGCTATGCATCTGAGAGCTGGACAATAAATAAAGGTGACCAGAGTGGAATGACTGCCTTTGCGTTGTGGTTGGAGAAGAGTACTGAATATCTCATGGACTGCCAAAAGAACAAACAGATGTGTCTTGGAAAAAGTGCAGTCAGAGTGTTCCTTGGAGGCACAGATGGTGAAGCTTTGTTTCTCATAGGTTGGGGATGTTTCTAAGAGAGACTTTTCCTTGGAAGGGATCATCATGCTTGAAAAGGTGGAGAGTCAGTTAAAGAGGAAGACCCCTAACAAGATGGGTAGATGGGATGACTGCAGCCGTGGGCTCTAGTGTGTCGGAGATGATGAGGATGACACAGGACACGACAGGGTCAGGTCACGAGTCATAGTCCACTTGACGGCACGTATCCAAACAACAACAGTGCTGAGTAACATTTTGTAGTTAAAATGTACCCTGAAGCTCCTCACTAACCAGGTCTGCTGATACTTCTGATAAATCAGCCATCGGGAACCCCACGGAGCATGGATCTGCCCTGACACAGGGTTGTCATGAATCAAGCTTGATTCCAACAACTAGTTTTTGGGTTGTATTTTTTTACCTTTGGTTTTTTTGTTGTTTTTTTTTTAACCTTTTAGCCTCTTCACTTAAAGTTTCATTCAAAGAAAACAGACATGTCACATGCATGCATACATACAGACATCCACTCTCATTGTTTAACCCAATGTGACTCTGGTTTTTAGCTGGTCGTATCAGTAAGTGTTTTCTTGAGGTATGCCACTAATTATGGAGGAAATAATAAGGGTTGACATTAGGACTCTCTGCTCGCTGAAATGTTGCCTTGACACCTTAGAAGACAGATCTGATGAGCTCCTTCCAAAAAGTCACAACCTTGAAAGCCCTATAGAACTGTTCTGCCTTGCCCACAGAAAGTGGCCAAGAATAGAAATTCACGAAGGTGAATGAAAGTTGGAGACATTTATTTTGGCTATGAACAAAACTCAAGTCTAAATTTAGAAATCAAAACTCAAGTCTACATTTAGAAATCAATTTTTGTCTAAAAATTCAGTCTTCTTACTGTTAGGTGCCATTGAGTTGAGTACAACTCATAGCAACCCTGTGAAAACAGACCTGAACCCTGTCCTATCCAGTGTCATCCTCACCATCTCGGATATTCTTGAGCCCATTGCTGCAGTCACTGTGTCAGTCCGTCTCGTTGAAGGTCTTCCTCTCTTTCATCATCCCTCCACATTTCCAAGTTGATCTCCTTTTCCAAGGAATAGCCTTAGAAGGAAGTAAAAATTAATTTTAAAAAGCTGCTTAAAATATATATGAATTACCAAATTAATGTTAAAATAAGATAAATCCTCCACCTTTAGTGAGGTTTTTTTGTGGGTTGCTGTGTTGTTGTTTTGTTTTTTTAATACTTGAGGGTCATGATGTCAAAGTATTACTTTTAGTTCTTGGTACCAGCAGCCAGGAAATTAATAGTCTAATTGCAATGGGAAAGTCTACTGTTAGAGACCTCTCCAAAGTACTGAAGAACAATGTGATGTCAGTCAGTCTGGAGACTAAGGTGCGCCTGTTACAGTCCATGGTCTTTGTGATTACTTGCTATGCAGCAGAGAACTGGACAATGACTAGGGATAATAGAAGGAGAGTTGATGCCTTTGAGCTTTGGTGCTAGAGAAGAATATTGAAGATACCATAGATTGCTAGGAGAACAAACAAGTTCCTCCTGGAGAGAGGGTGAAGCCAGGCTGCTCCTTGGAGGCAAGGATTCTGAAGCTTCATCTGACATACTTTGGACTTGTTGAAAGGTGAGATCAGTCCTTGGAGAAGGGATGTCATGCCTAGAAGGGTGGAGGGACTGCGCAGGAGAGGAAGACCCTCGAGGAGATGGATTGATTCAGTCACTGGGGTAACGGGGGGTTGTCAGAGACAATAAGATTGGCAAGGGACAGAGCAGAGTTTAGGGCTGTTGTACATAGGGTCGCTATGAGTCGCAAGCAACTTGACAGCACATAACAACAACAACAACAACTGATATAAGGGTCTTGGTCAATTAGCTTTCTCTGGATTATGAATGATTTCTTCATAGATTTCTGTGCTTTGTATGGCCCTGGAGGTGTTGTAGGATTGAGTGACCTCAACGTTAGATAAGCACTAAAGATAATCACATATGGCTATTATATTATACACACTTTTGGATTTTGTTCTCAGCCCTCCCATTGGCCATGCCCTGCTGGACCTGTCCTTCCTTCAGCTCCCTGGGGAGATGCCCTCTGGCTTCCGAGAGCAGCTGGACCACCCATTCTGAAGACACCAGCAGTCCTAGTTTTGGTCCTTCGTACACAGACCTGCAGCTCGTCAGTGCTGAGGAACAGACGAGTGGCAGGGCTTCTGGAGCTGACTCCACAGGTAAGATGGAGTGCCACGTCACAGGGCTTTGCCAGTCACTCTGGTGGCCTTTCCGCCGTCTCTCCGTCCCTACAGCCAGTCCTCTTTGCAGAATGGGCTCTGGTGTAGCCATCTAGTAAAAATTCTAGAATCCAGACCGGCTCAAAATCACATTAGGAGAAACATACAGACATATTTCCTGGCGCCTCATTAATATTGGAAAACCATTTGACAGTTCATTTCAGTGTGTTACATTCCGACTGTTCAGTACGAGTACTGTCAGTTTTTTCTCCTTGAATAAGTGAACTTTGTATAATACACGAAAGGCGGAATCTTTCATCCTGTCTGTCGGCTGCCACCCACGCGCCTTCCCTCCTGAGGTAGCTTTAAGCAGAAACAAAGTGGATGTTATGAAAGGGAATGAAAACTAGGACCCAGCTACTGTGTCCAGACTGCAAATCATTTTGCAGTTATGCTGGTTGTTTTTATTTTATCATATGCCTTAAATGACCTACACATCAGTCTGTCACGGCCTGTGACTTTATATGTCTGACTTCCCAGTGGGCATAACTTGGAATGCTGGTTTGCTTCAGGTGGAATGTGGACCTGTCAGCGAGCACTGTGTTAGCTCTAGGTTTGGGAAGGCTTTGGGTTGGAAGTGCTCATCCTTGGTGTTGGGTTATTTGGCACAGGAATTTGTTTCCTTTGCATGTGGTGATGTTGGTGTTAATTGCCACCAGGTGGCCTTGTGTCAAGAAGCTGCACTGCAGTCCCGAAGGCACTCAGTTCGAGGCCACCAGCTGCACTGCGGGAGAAGGATGGGCAGTCTCCTCCCGTGTCATTAACTGCCTCTGAAAGCCCATCAGAGGGTCAGCTCTGGGTCACTTCTGTCTCTGCGGTACACAAAAACAGCAACAAGTTTCAGTTCATGGCAACTTTAAATTTAACAGAATGAGACATTGCCTGTTCCTGTACCCCCTTCACAGTCATTAATAACTTCGAATTCCTGCCGAGTCTGGGGCTCCTTTTCCAGGCCTGCACTAGAGAAGACTCTTTCGTTTTCTTATATGATACTCATTGGCTGGTTTTTGGAATTAGATCAGCAGCCTTTCTTCCTAACCTGGAAGCTCCACTGAGACCTGCCCACCATGTGACTCTGCTGGTGTTTGAAATGCTGGTGGTGGAGGCTTCCGGAATCACGGCAGTGCATGAGGCACCACAGTGTGGCAGCCCGATAGGTAGGCCGGGGGTGGCAGGAAGTGACAGAATTGCTGACAGTTCTTCTGTGGCTAGAATGACCCAGTATGCGTAGTATTTGGGGGTGTTGTTTGTCAAGACTGATGTTTAGTGGTTAATCTGTGGCTCAGTTTTCTGATTAGGGCAGTGTTTACACTCAGTATCGTGTGTTGTTAGGTTCTGCAAGTTAAAAGAAGGACCTTTCTCTAGGTAGATAGGATTTAGATTGGTGGTTGACGATTTCTGCAGAGAATCCTAGTTTATCACTCTCTTTCTCTTTAAATGCTGAAGTTCAGCGTTTCATTGTGTAAACACTCCCTCAGTTCTGGTTGATCTTGGTGACTGATGACGCCTTCCTGGGGCTGAAATCTGCCTGATAAGCCCACGTCCACTGTGGGGAGCATTCCATGGATGGTGAGGTGCTGCTGAAGTCGCTGCTGGCACCCTGGTCATCTGAATGGGTTGCCAGCAAAACTGGCCTTTTCCCCTTGGCCTGTCCTTGCTCTCAGTCTCCCTTCTTCTTGTGGAGGAGCACATGGCATAGTGAGGAAGGGTGCTCAGACTCTGTTGTCACACTGCTCAGGTTCGAATCCAGGCTCAGGCCTTAGCTCACTGTCTCTGTTATCTAGTGCACAAGTACCACAGATGAGCAACTTAAGTAGACAGAAATCTATTTTTCTTACCAGGGAGGGGGCTAGCAGTGCCAGTGAAGGGTGCTTACACTAGGGGAGGGCTCTCTGACTGTGGGGCCTCTTGGGAGAAGTGTTTATCTCCTTTCAGCTTCTTGCTGGGGCTCTGTGGTGATCTTCACATGGCATGGCATCTTCCTTCCGTTATTGTCACTTGCCTGATCTACTCTACAAAACACATCCTGCACTAATCCTCCCTTATAAATGTAACAAAGAGAGCCCTATTCCCTAACGGGTTGTAATCACAGATACAGCAGGACTCACAGCACGTGTTTTGGGGAGGAGAGTTAGATTTTGACATGCTTAGATTTATAACGCCAGCCTTGTGAAGTCGTACAGTCTGTCTTCATACCTCAGTTTCCTCATCTGAATAACTGAGATGATAGTACTTGCCTTACTAGGCTGTTGTCAACTCCAAGCGAGACCTTTTAGGTAGAACATCTTTCATCATTGGCACCAAGTCAGTGATCAAGGACACGGCTTCTTCCCCCTCCGGGACTAGACTTCTTACTGCCTTAAAGAAGTGGACGATGGCCCTCTTGCTCTGAGGGAAGAGTTAGAATATCCGCTCTCAGGCTGACATTTCATAGCCTTTGTACCTTGTTATCAGGTGAGAAGTACTCCAATTCCTGGAGGCAGATGATGAAAATCACAGCTCTAGCCTGGGACATTATTCATCTGTCTTCAAAGCCTGTAATTTTTTTTTTTTTCATTTATCTCTCCTAAAGCCATGCTAGCAGTGTCACATTTCTCGTTAAGGAAACCTCTCCCCTGCTGTTTTGGTCAGAGCCCTGGTAGGAAGCTGATGGTACCCTCAAAAGGGTTCATCTGAAAAGGGTTTAATAAAGAGACTGCTTACAGAGGTGTCATAGGATTAAAAGAATCACAAAGGATGGAGCAGGACTCAGGGGCCATTAGCACCCTTCATCCTGATGGGCAGTGTTTTTTGAAGGGAGAAAGAGCTGGAACTGTGCGGAAAGGGACTCCAGGCAAGTGACGTGACTGTAAAAAGGATGAAGCCGGCGCATGTTGGTAGGGTGGGGGTGAAGGACAGGGGTTAAGTATCCAGGTTCTGTGTTGATGCTTCCATGGCAGAGCCCAGCTGGAAACCAGAGGGTTAGGGAGTCCACCGGTGAAGCAGCACTCAGAGGTGAGCTTCACTGCATGGAACAGACTGAGTAATCCACACTCCTGTAAGCTGGTTCCCATCAGGATTCTGATGGCATCCAGGCCAAGGTCACTGCAGAGATTCAAATGCAAAAACCAAGATAAAAAATGACGGACAAAGCATTAGTGGCTTCATAGAAGAAGGCAGTTTTTACTGTTATAAAGAGAGTTAAGGTATTGTTGGTCATTGCCCTAGAATCAAGTGTGATTCATAGTGACCCTAGGAATAACAGACCTAAATCCTGTCCTGTCCTGGGCCATCCTCACCCATCATCTCCAATGCACTTGAGCCCATTGCGGCAGTCACTGGGTCAGTCCATCTTGTTGGGCATCTTCCTCTCTTTTGCTGACCCTCCACCCATCCAAGCATGATATCTCTTTCAAGGAATAGCATCTTCCTCGTAGCAGCATGCTCCAAGTATGGAGAGACAAAAGGTCTCCATCCTTGCCTCCAGGGAGCACTCTGGTTGCACTTTTCCCAAGACATATCTGTCTGTTCTTTTGGCAGTCCGTGGGATTGGTACTCTTCTCCCACACCACAACTCTAAGGCATTTATTGTCCAGCTCTCAGATGAGTAGCAAGTGAGTGAAAAGGCTGTGGCTTAAATCAGGCACGCCTTAGTCTTCACAGTAATATCATTGCTCTTACTGAATGCTTTTTTTTTTTAGTGAATGCCTTTTGACAGCCACTTGCTTCTGCAGAAGGAGTAAATAATTATAGCCATCACTTACTATAGAGTGTTGTGTGCCAGTAACCTCGCCTGCTGTCTTCCAATCACTTCCAACTCAGGGCCACTTGCGTGTATCAGAGCAGAACTGTTGTACAGGGTTTTCATTGGTTGAGTTTTGGAAATAGATCACCAGGCCTTTCTTCCAAGGTGCCTTTGGCTAGACTCAAGCCTCCAGCCTTTTGATAAGCAGCTACGTGGGTTAATGATTTGTACCTCCCCTGCAAGGAAGGTTAAGAAACTTGTCTAAAGAGAACACTAGCAAAAAATGGGTGAAATGACGTGTCAACTTAAGTTCCTTAGACCAAACCTAGGGACACTCAGAGTCACCTGGAGAAAGAAAACTTTCCAGCCCAACCCAGGCTTACTTGAGCCAGAGCCTTTGGGAGCATGGCCCAGGAATCCGTCCTTTGTGAAGTTCTCTATTGATGTGCAGTTGATTTAAGGTATAACGTTTAGAAGCTGCTGTTCTAATGTCCCGTTGCTTTTTGGAGATAATTGGGGGTGGGGGGGTAGTCGGAACAAGGAAAAGGGACGTCCATGGTGATGATCTTCCTCAGTTCCCAGAAACCAGTGCGGAAGAGTGATGGTTTCCTCCAGTGGAATCCTAGGCACGTACGGGGCTAGCGAATGGCTACATTTAATATGACATCAACTTTGAATGTAAAAACATGAATAAAAACAGCACTTGCATATAAATTCATACATAAGTTCTTTGCCGTAGAGTTGGGACTGACTCCTGGCAGACCCTTTTTGGGTTTCCAAGGCGGTAAATGGCAAGGGATGAGATGAGACTGTCCGGTTTTCTCCTGAGATGCTGCTTGCCAATGGCTTGAATTGCTGGAGAGTCAGGGCCTTGGGTTAGCATTGTCACTCCCTACCAGCTAGGCCACTGCGTTGTTCAAGATTTTCCAGGCACAGTACTGGATTCTTTAGGTCAGTCACCTAGTTAAATTCTCACCATAGACCTGTGAAGCAGTTGCTGTTACAGTCCCTGTGTTGTAGATGAGGACATGAGGACTCAGAGAGGTTGAGGAAGACTCCTAAAACAAGAGCCCCAGCCTCGGGGCTTTTCAGCTGCAGAAACCCTGATAAACTGCTTGAGGGTAGTAGAGGGCTCCCAGCTTTGTAAGACTTGGATTTCATAACCTGGGAAATCTTCTGAGAGCAGTGTTTTCCACTGGCAGGGTGGTTTGTTTGC